GAAACCTAACTTAAGTGTTTTACTCGGTAGTCTGAAGTTTAATATGAAACCTAACTTAAGTGTTTTACTCGATTGTCTGAAGTTTAATATGAAACCTAACTTAAGTGTTTACTCGATAGTCTGAGGTTTAATATGAAACCTAACTTAAGTGTTTACTCGATAGTCTGAGGTTTAATATGAAACCTAACTTAAGTGTTTTACTCGGTAATCTGAAATTTAATATGAAACCTAACTTAAGTGTTTTACTCGATTGTCTGAAGTTTAATATGAAACCTAACTTAAGTGTTTTTAGTAGTATTTGAATATAGTGTGGAATATAATGACTTTTAATCTCTTTTAAAAAACACAGTGAAAATAATATTGTACGTTGATATGAGCAGAAACTTCAAAATAATGACGCTAAGCTATCTTCACTAGGTTCACCTGAAGTGGAGCTAATTTATTTCTCCACTGTGTAGATAAACATCAAATACTGTTTTTAATTTTGTCTTCTTTTTCGTTAAGGCTGGACGGTAAACCGCCAGGTAAAGTATTTAAACATCAGCACATGATTTTTGGCACATTTTTCTTCTCAGGTGGCTCAGCGATAAGCTAGAAAGTTTATAACACTAAGATTCAGGGTTCCAATCCTGTGATAGGCGTAGCACATAATAACCCATTGTGCAATTTTGTACTTAACAACAAACAAAAGCAATGATATTTAAATAAAATTTAGAACGCGCTTTTATAAAATTAATTTTTGTTAGAAGTTAAGGACAAAGCAACACAATGGGCTATCTGTGCTTTGCCCACGCCTGGTATCGAAACCCAATTTCTGGTGTAGTAAGTCCGTAGACATGCCGCTGTGCCACTAGGGGGAGGGAGTGAAATTAGTGAAACTCCTGAATTGATTAATACAATTTCTTAGAAGAATGACAAACAAATGTAGTTACAGCATGATAGAATCGAAAATGCTAAGAAATATTTAAAAACCTTATAAGAAAAAAAACATTTAAGAAGTTAACGTTTCGACCGAATAACCTTCATTGTGTTCTAAAAAAAACACGAAGGTCCGTTTTCCTTTAATATAGAAGGTCACTTCTTGTCTAGAAAAGTCTATAAGAATAAAGGTTAAGAGCAGTGGAACACAGTGAGCAGACGACACTGAAGAAACTTGCTGATTGACAGAGCATAAGATGGAAGTGAAGGTAAGATATAGACTCTAGTATCGAATTTCGTTTTAGTGTCTATGGTAAAGCTACTGTCCGTAATTTTGAACTATTGACCAGAGAGAAAACATCACGTCAGCAACGTCCGCCATACAGGTTAATGGATTGACTGTTATAACGCATCCACAGCTTAAAGCGCAAGGAATATTTTGTGTTATCGAAGGGATTCGAACCCGGCTACCACATCTCCCCCCCCCCCCCGGGGAAATAAATGAAGCAGAACTTAATGAATAATGACGAAAATATAAGATATATAAAAGAAAATATAACGTAAACAAATATCACAAATTAGAAAATAACAAGTTATTAATAATATTTTGGAAAAATAGGCACGAGTAAATCAACTAAAGAGGTCATTGTTTTTATTTTATTTTTTGCGTTATCACCCCCTCAGTTCTACCTCCTGTTAGCTCCTGACAACCAGAAAGTTTCTGTAGTTCCTTTTGTCCCCTTTGTTTGAGTTATCTTGCATTCTCTTCCCATTGACTTACGCCTATCAAGTATTCTCTTACTTTTCTTTCGGTTTCTATGAAGGTAATTTGACCGAAACGTTGACCACTTAATTCGTTTTCTCTTGAAGCTATTCTTGCCATTTATTTGCATGTTCAACTGCAAATAATTGTCAAATATATTACACGCATATAATCGTAATTTAAAATCTGCAGTTGTACAAAGCATTTATCTTAGCAATTGTGTGGTCCCCTGGTGGGACAGCTGTAAGTTTACGGACATACATCGTTAAAATCCAGGGTTCGATTTCCCGCGGTGGACACAGCAGATAGCCCAGTTTGGTTTTGCTCTAAAAGAAAGAAAGAAAGACAATCATATTATGCCAAAATAATTTGAACAATCTAATACATGCAGCATGAGACTGGCTGATTAATCTTACTCATAGAACTATTGGTATACATGGTTACGTAAGTTTTTTGTTTGTTTGTTTTATTTTTAACTTCCAAATGAATTTATAAGGTGAAGCGAAATAACAATCCAAAGTATATTAATTTCATCAAGATTACAAAGTATGCGATTAAAAACAATGGCATAAAAACCTCTTTTTGCCAAGGTGAGCGACTTGCAACGAATCTACAATTATTAAATGTCGCTTACACACGAAGGGTATTGAGTAACTAGTGACATTGTACAATATTTACGTTTTTTGTGGGTTTTTCTTTTTTTACGAATGAAAATATGGGAACTCAAGATGAAATTTTGCTCTTGTTTCGGTCCCTCATAGGAATTCTTAAGCTTGAGGGTGTTTGCTACCACTCCTGTTTGATCCCTATACACAAATCTAGAGGAAGTGATTGCTCCCTCATAGGAATTCTTAAGCTTGAGGGTGTTTGTTACCACTCCTGTTTGATCCCTATACACAAATCTAGAGGAAGTGAAATAACTAGAGGAAGTGGATGCTCACCTGGTTCTTGCGCTAATGAGTAAAACATTTCAGAAATTTATAATCTCATCAAACGATAAAAATACTACTCGAAATTAGTATTTTATCCTGTACATGGTGACACCAATAAACTGATCTCTAAAGAAAACCTAATTTCATTTTTTTTTTCGAGTACGACAGATTAAGATCAACAAAAGGCATATATACCATATTTT